TCCGCTCACACTTTTTTGAGCCACCCTATAGAAGTTAAAATATTTTCCTGAAATACATCCTGGTACATACCTTAGGTTTGCTTTAAAACAAAATTCTCAAGTTTTTTATTCTAGGAGCTACAGATGCCCGACGCACTATTGCCGGACCCTGTATAACAAAACAATTTAAATGAAATAAAGCAACCTACGTTGTGTTAAGAATATTTTTATTGTGATTGCCTCGGATGCGCTCGACAGAAGCAATATTTTGGGAAATTTGAGGAGAATAGGTTATGTAAATAAAACGCTAAATTTGTAAATAGCCCTACTTATTTTATTAAATGAAATTGCTGTCCTCCATTCGCGAACTTCGAGTTCTGGGCTTTACGCCCTGGGGCTACTCGAGAACGGTTCTGAAAGGAGAACAGTTCTGGAACTTTATGACTCAATTGAAGGGAGTGAGAGTATCGCGTTCTTGAACAGTTCAGAGCTGCTCAACTGCGTGAAAGGAAGACAGCAAATGATAGGAGTGCCGTACTCTGCCTGGAATTCACAAGTAAAAGAGCACGGCAGAGAAAACCATGATCACTATTCCAGAGAATCCCACTATGCTGTTGAAGACCATCCATTTTAATGAGGCCTTTAAAAAGTTTCTTACAAGATTTCCTCTAAAATAAAATGAGGAACTTTTGTTCATAATTTTGCATGTGTTCAGCATGACAATGGAACACGGAACACACGATATATATGCATTTAAATTTAAATATCAAGAGTTATAATATTATATAAGAGTGTTGATATTTAAAGAAAATATCATTAGTGACGATCAAAAGTGAACTTGATGAGTAGTCCAGGAGGCAGTGAATTTTTTTTGTAGGTAGTTATTTTCCCCAAAAAATTGTGACATGATAAATAATACCATAGTATAAGTAGTAGTATCTATATCTATATCCCCATCTATGCCCAATAAATTCTTTCTTCTTTTTATTATAGTCTCCACGATAACATCCTTTGTTTATTGTTTTCTCTGGGCCAAGGTGATAGCGGCGAGGTGTGTTGGAACGCCTCCGCAGCGGTTTTTCGGTAGTAACGCTTCAAATTGTAAGCTACTGCCTAACCAGGCTGCAAATGGCGCCTTTGTGCCTCGTTTGCTTCTCCTTTTTCTTTTTTCAGGATCGCTAGTTCATCGTTGCTGATTCCTCCCGTATTGATGAAGCCGGAAGGCAGAAACACTGAGTGTCTACGGGTAGTCATGTTTTAGTCATATCTCATGACTAATCTTTCTGTGGACTTGCCCAATAAATTCTTCCTTCTTTTTATTATAGTCTCCACGATAACATCCTTTGTTTATTGTTTTCTCTGGGCCAAGGTGATAGCGGCGAGGTGTGTTGGAACGCCTCCGCAGCGGTTTTTTCGGTAGTAACGCTTCAAATTGTAAGCTACTGCCTAACCAGGCTGCAAATGGCGCCTTTGTGCCTCGTTTGCTTCTCCTTTTTCTTTTTTCAGGATCGCTAGTTCATCGTTGCTGATTCCTCCCGTATTGATGAAGCCGGAAGGCAGAAACACTGAGTGTCTACGGGTAGTCATGTTTTAGTCATGTCTCATGACTAATCTTTCTGTGGACTTGCCCAATAAATTCTTTCTTCTTTTTATTATAGTCTCCACGATAACATCCTTTGTTTATATCTATATCTCTATATAGAAATCTAGTATAGTATTTACTCCTTGTCAAATCCTTTGTTCTTTTTCTGCCACTTTATATGACCTTGTTCTCGCGTCCCGTGACCACGGACGTAGCTGTATAGTCGTGGTCTATAACTAGGCAAAGTATAGTCGTGGCACTCGCCATAGTTTCACAGAGATGTATTTAGGAAAATATGAGTTCACAATAAAATAATCGAGTAAACATTTGCTTGAAAACAGAATATTTTTACATTTCGTGTAAGTAACAATTCTTCTGTATCTGAAAATCTTCTGATGGTAAGAAATGCGAAAAAAATATATAATGACATATTTTTATATTAATGTGTGACATTAATGTGCATGTTTTGTAGTAATATATCGGATAGGTTCTTGGATATCTCAAAAGAACCGGGAATTTCCGGTTCTGAACCCTAGTTTATTATCAAGAAATTATGTTTTTTAACTAAAAACTAAAAAAAAAATTCCAAATTTTTTTTCAAAAATATGCGCAGAAAAATCCTCATATTTCTAGGACTAAAATATACTACCCCTAAAAATATTTGCACTTATTTAGGACTCACCCTGTATAGGGTGATCCACGGCTATGGTACGTTATAGTGTTTCCGCAACCGGAGCTGTTTTTCGGAACCGCTAATTTCGCCTCTAAGGAACCGGTATTTCCAGTTTTTTTTTCGGTACTTTCGGTAGGTACTAGCAAATTTTTGTTTAATGATGGTGCAGTTCCTTAAACAGCAAGCAAGGGATGGTTGTCAAAAGTAAAATCGATAAAAAATTGAGGTTTAAATGAAAATAATATCAAATTATTAAGTAGTAATCAGTCATGAGAAAATTAACCTGAACACAAACATAATCACAAATGAAGAAAAGAAATGAAAAAAAATAGGTAACTTAAAATATACATCAAACAACTTAACTAAATTTGAAAACAAGCCTTACATTTTGAATTAAAAATGCAAATGTCTATTAAGTCATAACATAAAATATAACTAATACATTGAGCAACATTATACTAAACTAGCGTGTACTAGCGACTTCGTTCGCGTCTAATTCGCAAATTAATCATTTGTAATGGTGATGATAAAGCAAAGCAAGAATTTCCATTAGCATACAAACTGGATAAAATTTTCTCACATTTATGTCAGCATGAGAAAAAACAATATGGCGATATTATTATATAACTTGGTAATATTTGAGAGGTAGTTTCATCTCGTTGGAATTTGACTTTCGAAAAATCCGTTTGCCAAAAATAAGCTTTTTACGTCAAGCAGTTTAAGCAGAATTCGTGGTTAAGAAATTACCTAACATTTTGAAACACCCTGTATGATTTTTTAAAAAATTTCAAAATATGTTAAAAAACAAAATAAATTATGCGTTTCCAAGCGTTTTCCCGAAATACTAACTGTTTTTTAAATAACAAATATTGTAATATTTGAGGGGCGTTTTCACCCTCTTGGAATTTGAGATTCGAGAAACCCCTTCTTATCCCACAGTCAATCCGTTTGCCAAAAACCAGCTTTAAACGTCAAGCAGTTTAAGCAGAATCGTGATTACTCAATGGTCATATTTTATGAAACACTCTGTATAAATTTTTAAAAAATCTTAAAATATGTAAAACAACAAAATAAAATATACGTGTTTAAGAGTTTTTGCGAAAAACTCACAGGTTTTTAAATAAAAAGTATTCTAATATTTGAGGGGCGGTTTCACCCCCTTTGAATTCGAGTTTCGAAAAATCCCTTCTTATCGAACTTCTGCACCCTAAAGTCAATCTGTTTTCCAAAAATCAGCTTTTTACGTCAAGCGCTTTAAGCAGGATCGTGATTAGTCAATGCCCAGATTTTTCGAAACATCCTGTATATATTTTTAAAAAATCTTAAAATATGTAAAAAAAAACAAAATAAAATATACGTGTTTAAGCGTTTTTTCGGAAACTTGACCGTTTTTTAAATCAAAAATATTGTAATGTTTGAGGGGTGGTTTCACCCTCTTGGAACTGGAATTTCGAGAAATCCCTTCTTATCGAACCTCTACACCCTAGAATCAACTTGTATGCCAAAATTGAGCTTCTTACGTTGAGTGGTTTGAGCATGAACATACTAGTTTTTCGTTTTCCTGTTATTACCGATTCTGAACCGTCCTAGAACTGTGATGCGTATGCGCAGAAGAAAATATGAAGACATTATTTCATTTGCGCATGCGCTGCAGAGTTCTAGGACGGTTCAGAATCGGTAATAACAGGAAAACGAAAAAGCTAGTATGTCAGTCACTTTTTTGTCACAGGATTTTATATATTAGTATAGATTTTGTTTTAATGGGCCGATTTTGATAATTTTTTAAGCAGTGTGTAGCCAGATTATTTCACTTTTTAGTATCATTTTCTAAATTAAAAATGAAACTCCCCATCTGTTAATTATACGAGGGAAAACAAAATGTTGATATTTTGGTTAAAGTTTGAAACCCTGTGGAGTATGGTAAAACCACAAGAAATTTAAAAATTTTATCATCTAGATACATCCTTTCTAGATGGTTTGTTTTTTGGTTCATCTCATTAGCTTTATTTTTGTTGGAAATATTCGCTTTTGAAAAAGGCACTAATTTTTTTTTCGTAATTTTTACATTAAGACCATGCATAACCATGATTTACATTGGACCTAGTCAACACATCTAGTAAGTTTTGGTCCCGAAGCAAAAGATTTGCTTCATTTAATCTTCTTCTTATAGTCCGTTAGTTAATATGTACGTTTCTTAGGTTCGTTCAATTCATTATCAATTTGAAAACCTTGCAAACGGCGGTTCCTTAGCGATAAACTTACAATAAGTCGATCATCTCGATTAGAAGTTCTCATACGAAGGTTCCTAGACGTCTAGATTGACGTCCTCATGGTTGTGGTCATCATTCAAACACCACTTAGTATACTTTATGGTATTAAGGTATTTGAACCGGAATTTTATAGCAAATTCACTCAGCTAAACAAATATAGATATATATTTGACTCCCCTGTATATCTATAAAAATATTTTTGAAAAGTGAACTACCATTAAACACATATTTTGTAAAAGGTTTGGAGTAAAAATCTCAAATAGAAATCCTGATACCAAGCTTTTGCGGAATACGGAGCCATCTTGTATGTATGCATTTGTATATGTGTGTTTATTTAAATACCAAAGTAAAAGCAACGAATTTAAATGGGTAAACTTTGTAATATATCTTATTAACAATACAATGCAAACATTTTTATAAAAACTCGTTCACAGTAAATGAATTCCGAGGTTTGTATCCCATAAGGGCTTAAAGCATTACACTATTTAGACGAGTTTGATTTTGACCGCTAGAAAGTATCAATGGACTTAAAAAAATCTCAAAAAACGCGCACGTGTTTAGGACATACATTCATATGGAAGTTTTTCTCTTTAGAATAGGTGCAAGAATTGTCCCTTTAAATATTAGCATGTCATTAAGGAACACCCTGTATATTAGAATAAGATACCAAACAATTCTATCGGTGTTTGCTGCCTGGGAAAATGTAACGAAAATCTTCACTGCCTCCTGGACTAGAGCATTTTATCAGCCCTATAATTAGAGCGCTCGTAGCGCCTATGCTATCCAAATATCATTTTGTCCATCAAACTTGCCAATACACATAGGGATTTATCTCTAGTCGGTAGCTACATCATCAAACGAACCGTATATTAATTATAAATTAACACATTCAGTCTGGCGTTTAGTTCTTACTGTTGTGTCGTCCAGACAGCAAGTATTTTTTTTTTCAGATAACCCGAATTGTTTGAGGAGTAAACGTGATCATTTAGCTCCAATTTTTATAGGCTGTGATAATTTAAAAAGGAATCTAATACTTTAGTGATTAATTAGTTATCTAATATCAAGAAAGTTCGATTCGGAAAAGTCGTTAGAGAAATTGTAATGTCGGGAAGTGAATGCCTGGTCGGTGTTGGTGTAGAAAATTTGAAAACTTCTTCGATCCCAGCTGGCGAAAGCAGTTCTTTGGCTTGTCAGTTCCTAAAAAGTAGTCATTCACAAAGGTAAAAATATTTTTTTTATTTACCTCTTCTAGTTGTATAAGTATTATAATAAGCAGAACTGCAACAAGTCAGTTTCAAAAAGACTTAAATCTTAAGAGTCCGAAAAAGTAGTAAGATAAGCGTTAGGCATTTAACATTTTATCTAAAACTGGCTAGATATTTTTATACAAATGAAGAAGGAAATTAAAGATAAAGGATTATACTATATCCGTATTGTAGCACATTTTTAGAAAACTTCCTTATTTTTAAGATTTTGATGGTCAAACACCAACAAAATATTCCTTATGTTTGGACTAAAATTTCTCGAAAATAAAGACATAATTTAAAATTCCGTTACAATACGGAAATAGACTGAAGTTTTGTGATTACAGTGATATATAATTTATATGGTCTTGTAACAAATTGCTCGCTATTTTATGGCAAATGCTGAAGCTCGGCAAATCTTAATCAAGCCTTAATCAAATCACGCGTGTTTAGAATTTTGGATGTGGCTTAACACGACAGGATCGGGCTAAGCCATGATACTCCTGAGAGCGACCCGAATAGTACGACGCGACGTAGTGATGGGCATTACGATTCTTTTTAGTCAATCAATTTCTCATATTGAATCGACTTCTAGGATTCGTTCATTTGAACGAACCACATGCACAATTTACGTTTAATAAAAACAAGAATCGTAATTAGCACTACCGGCAATAATTTGGCCGGAGAATTACTTAAGTTACTAGAAAATTAAATATACAGTTCTTTTATTTGCTTTTCAACACTTTATGACGCTAGCGTAATTGGATTGATTATTTTACAAATAATATTAAATTATCAATCCAATTCATATATACTATTTATTAAAGACTTCTTAATACCAATTTAATATTTTTAGAGCCATATTTCAATTCCGATTTAATAATACCGCATCATCCAAAAAAAATTGCATCCAGTTGGCTTGGAAATGAATATCGATCACATTGCCCATATATTTTACATATAAAATGACAGCGATTTTCATTTTATAACCATCGCTGACGCCGTTTTTTTATTATATTGAGCAGAGGCCAACAATATTTATTTGGAGTTGCATAAAAACACGATTTGGTCTTTTAGTCCGACATTTAATGGACCGAGTGAATAAAAACTAAGATTTTGCTTTTAGTATTAAGTAAAAGCTTTAGCTTGTACTAGGTAGATTTAGCTTTTGCTAATAGCATTTGCTGAAATTGAAGTGAATAACCTTTTGCTTTTACTTACTAGCAAAAGCTAGATATTTTAAGTATTTACTTAAAAATCTTATTTGGTAAATAATTATTTTAAAATATTTGATCTTCTTAAAATACGACTGTCGTGCACCGAGTCAGGCCATTGAGCATCTACGGATGTAAACAATTCTTTTCCGTTACAAGTTGCTTGCACATTTATATAGTACGTCTGCTGGATCTGTGTCTATGAAAGGAATGCGGACAAAAAACATTTAAATAAACAGCAATATATTTTATACGTCGACTTGACGAGTACGTCACCGCAAATCGCTCCGCCCACTCATTTTATTAGCCACTTGCAAATTTGTCGAATTTTTATTGATGGGACGCGTCGTCTATTTTTTACGAAAAACATCGAGAGAATATCGTTTCCCCTCTCACGGATACCCCGTAGCTACAGAACGGACAGACGTACTGTACTACACCAGCCTTTCTTATTGATATACTCGTCACCAGGTAGCGATGGCTTTATTATTGGTACATGAGTGCAATCAATCCGCACCAAAAGCACAGGGAAATCTATACAACTCTGCCCATTCGTTAATTGTCTGGACAGTCGAGTTTTCTGTAGGAAATTTTATCCAAATTCCTGCCTTTTCAACTATTTTTGGTAAAACGTGAGATATCGTTTTACATATTGGTGTTATATGAACTCCTTCGTCTTTTCCGATCCCTATTTTAAGTTCAGGATCACTTAAAAATCACAAAAATATTTGCATTTGTTTTTTTGGACCCAAAATTGCACCACCGCTATGTAGTTTCCACTTTTGGCTTCAAAAAATGGATAGCTATCCACTCAACATTTTTTTCACTAAATCTATACAGACCGTGGTATTCTTCGGCACGACTTTCTTTTCTTTAAGGATAAAACTTTACCGTTCTTATATTCATAAAAGCAGCCATTTCTGCCAAACTGTTTAACAATACTAAACAATACTACTTCTAAGCCAGGGTTTAACAAGCTTGCAAAAATGTAAGCCTTTCCTTAATATTCTTAGCAATTGCTTACTTTTATCCACACCATTTTTAGACAATGCAAAAAACTTTAGCTTTTGCTAATTGCATTTTTAGTAAAAGCTAATACTTTTTTTATTCACTGCAAACTAAGCATTTGCTAGGAAAATGTAAGTTTTAGCTTTTACTAAATGTTTATTCACACTGCCCAATGGTTTATAGTCGGTAATATTATTTTTTAACAAAAACATTAACGTAAAAATTAAATACCTTACAGATACTCCCATACTAAGCACAAATAAGTTTTTTTCTTGTAAATAACATTCTTATCGTTTGCATTTTATGCCCATGATGTTTGTTTAGGGCTTTTGTTCAACTTTAAATATTGTTGCCTGACTCTATGCCTATATCAACGCCGCGCCGTAAAAACGAACGATCGCATTGTGATCTGATTCAATTCTCACGATTCTTTTTTACGGTTCATCGTTCAAATCTTATGGATCCGTGCTGGCCACGATTCAGTTGAACAAACCGTATTGTAAGCAATGAATCAATTCTCAAGACTCTTTGAACGAACGATCGCATTGTGATCCGATTCAATTCTAACGATTCTTTTTTACGGCTCATCGTTCAAATGTTATGGATCCGTGCTGGCCACGATTCAATTGAACGAACCGTATTGTAAGAAGTGAATATAATCACATGATTCATTTTTAATACTCGTAATTAAAAAAGTTATTATTAAATGAACGACTCGTTCAATCTTTGCTCACCTCTATATATTCTTTTGGGTTACATAACGAAATCTGAAATTGTATTGAGTATTGTTTTTTAGGGTTCCGTACCCAAAGGGTAAAAACGGGAACTCTATTACTAAGACTTCGCTATCCATCTGTCACAAAGGTCTATTATGAATCGTTATAGCTAGACAGTTGAAATTTTCACAGATAATGTATCTATGTTGCCGCTATAAGAACAAATACTAAAAATAGAATTAAATAAATGTTAATAAATAAAAAAGTACTTTCACTAAACATTATCTTTTAAGTAAGAATTTTACATAGAATCTTTCAAGTCCCCGGTGGCCGCGTGGTTAGAGAGTTAGGACTTTACGCTGCTATCACGTTGGAGCCGTAGTAAGGCAGATTCGAATCCTAGTCAAGACGACTTTTTTTTAAGCGTTTTTTTTTAAATTTTTACATATTTTTACATATTTATTTTTACTTTTTACATATTTATTATTGATTAATACATATTTTAGTAATGTGTTTCTTCATTTTTTTTTAAATTACTTTTAGGCGCATACAAAATTTAGCTAAATCGGAAAAAAGGTTTATAATAATATAGTGTCTAACGTTGTATAGATAATGAATGGTACGGAACCCTTCGTGCGCGAGTCCGACTCGCACTTCACCAATTTTTTTATCTAGGTGATTGTAATTGTGATTGGTTATTTAGGTGATTGAGTTACACGAACATGTAGAATGAATAGCGGTAACACATGTTAACCGAATGAGATTGAGACGGTATGGCAACGGAATTCAGACGTTAATCACATCGGGATATATTCTAATTTTAATTTAAACTCTGTAATGATAATTTAAAAATATCATAAAACATAACGTGGGTATTGATAAGGCTTAATAATTATTTTGTTGTTAAATTTAGATCACATGGGGTTATCTATTTTAAGGACACGTTTGACATTTCTTTTTCGATATTACATAATTAGAAAAATGTGGGTGTGAACTTAAATTATCGTTAAAGTTACGCAATCGTTTATAAATTATTTTAATGCAATCTAATATATAAACACTATATAATATGTTTGTATTGATTGGCAATTTTTGGATTTTATATTGATTGGCAGATTCTCACTATACCTTCCGTATTAGCTCCCTTCCGTTTCCTTTCCGTTTACATAAATTATTATATCATGTAAATGAATAGGACAATACACACTATCCGTTCTGTGTCCCTTCCGTTCCATATCCTTTCCTTCCATACATTTTTTTGGCGGACGGACTGAAGCGTATCGGAAACAGCGTTCTTACATTTGTACCAGCTCTGTTAAAATTTTGCTGATATTTATTTATTCTTTTACCGCCCAATTAAACCTATTACCTTTTTCAAAAGATACAAATTTTTAAAATAAAACTTTTGTAATGATATAAATTGTACCATACATACAATCAAAAATACGGAACGGATATGGCCAATATCCGTTCAATACAATATACAATATACACGTCAATACAAGAAAAAATACGGAAAGGATATGGAATGGAAACGGAAGATACAGTGAGAATCAACTTTAATTCATATTTTTATTGAAGAATGTTAGGTATTAATTATTTATATTACATATAAAGGGCGAGATTCCTTCTACTGTAAATCATCATCATAATCATCATTTTCAGCTTATTCAACCATTTCCAATTATGGCGTAGCCTCCCTCACATACTCTCTTTGTAGCTGGGTCTATTTTTGTCAATTATTGTCTATGCGGGCCCAAGTTATCCCTGCTAATTTCCTAATATCATGGTCCCATCTCAAGTTTGGTCTTCCTGTAGGTCTCTTGATTCCTCATTTTTCCTATAAAAAAGTCCATATGAAGGAGAATTTAACTGTGTTACTAAAAGCTGGCAAAGGTTTGGGTCGAGATTTCCGTATGTAAGAAGAGTACAATGCGTTTATAATGTACTGAACAAAGAGAGAACAGTAAACACGTTGCCAAACGTATGAAATAAATCGAGAAACTGTGCACATTGCTAAGGAACACCCTGTAGGATT